GCTGAAAGCTGTGCTGGTCTGAGAACAGCAGGAGGATTCTGGGAAACAGATGCTCTCCACCGAAGGAAACCAGCTGACTGAAGGCTGTCGACAGGATCAGTTACCAGAACCAGAAGATCAGACGGACGGACGGACACCGTTCAAATTCAGAAGCTTGCACCGAGAAACGTTTGGCATCTGAAACAGCACATTTCTTCTCTTTCTTATTTATTTCTTTTTAAATTCTGTTAATTTTGTGTCTTTAAATTCTGTTTAAAAGTTTAATATTCGCTCTGAAAGTCACGAGGCTCTTTGTCAAGTTGTTGTTTAAAACCTCACTCGTTGTGCACGACATAAATAAACGTAGGATTTAAAGATTTTTATGCTAAAAATATCAGTCGCCCTTTAAAACTTTAGACTCTTGAGGGCAACGCTTTGGTTCCTGATGGATGAATTTGAACGGGTCGGTTCTTTCGTCCGAACGTCTGATCGTTCTTCCAGAAACACACACATTGAATCTTTGCATAGCGAGTTCGGTTCACAGCATCCCATAAACCAGTGGTGACGTCACGGTGACATCACTCTGCCAACTGTGTGACGATTGGTCAGGACTGGAGACGGACCGATGACGGATTTAGAAGCTGGTTTAGGCTCATGTCGGGTTTATTTAAACCTGAAAGCTGCACTGGGAGCTTGTGTTTGTTTGTTTGATAGCGTTTAGCACAGCTGATGCTAACATGTTAGCAAACCGCTAACACCATCAGATCATCACGTTGCTGTTTTAGAAGCTACAAAATGGATTTCTGTTCCAAAAACAAACAAAAAAAAGCAAAACGAATCTGCTCCCAGATTCTCCTTCAGGACAAATAAAGTTTTATCCTTTTTTTTCTTTACGACATTTAAATGAAAGACGTCACATATCGGCGGACGTGTTGATGATTCTATAAAACTGAGTGTCTGTACAGATGTGATAAACCCTCATCAGTGCGTCTCCAGCCTGACCGAGGAATAAAAAACATTCAAAACCCTTAAAACAACCTTTAACAAACACCTTAAGCAGCACGTCTGTGTCCGGTGGTCAGACAGCGTTACAGCAGGTTTAGTTCTTGTTTCCGTCACAGTTCTGGATGAACGATGCCGTCACGACAGGATTTTTTGGCAGAAGAGCACACGGACAACATGACATGAAACAACATCAGATTTTGGTACATTTTCATGTTTCTAGTTTTCTTTTGCATTAAATGGCTGCAGATTTTTTTTTTTTTAATTTTCCACCCTCTGACCCTCTCAGGCTCCGGTCGGGCGACGAGATGTTAAAACAAAAAAAAAAGTCATGATACAACTTTAGAAAGTAAAAGCGTTAAAAAATGTCAGTTTGATCAGAGCTGTTTCTAAAACGCTGCCTGGGGTTAGTTCGGTTAGCGAGCAGCAGCTATCGCTGCACTAATAATCTCTGTACGCGTCAGTGCTGCTTTTACAACAGAACATTAATCCTCCAGACCAGCCCATCAACACACCGGGTCCGAGACGCTCGTTAAGGTCCAGTTAGTGTGAAGTAATCATGACGTCAGGCGTTTACAGCTGATGAGGCCTAAACTGGAGTCAGACTGTGGTGCTAAATGATGCCTGGATCTCTGGTTCTGTTCATGATTATTCTGAATCCAGCACCAACATGTTGTGCTTTGTTTACGCTCAAACAGGAGGTGAAAAAACGTGACTGTGAATTTAAACTCAGTCACACTGTGGTTGTGTTTTCGGCTCTGACACCCCGATCGCACTGGAACAATACGAAACTAATAAATCAACCACCAGCGATTTTGATCATCGATTGGTTTGAGCAAAAATTTGGGCTTCGGGAAAATGATTTCGCCAAAAAACCAAAGTATCCAGAAAACAACCGACAGATTAATCAGCTCCGTTGTTTCCCAACAAACCTTCAGAGTGGGATATGATTGGATGAAAGTAAAGCGTTACGGTGAACTGTTAGCGTCTCTGTGTTGGATTCTCATTTGAACATGGAAAGAAGGAATGATTTGGGGAGTTGATCGGCTGGTCTGGACTCTGCTCTGTCTTCCTTTAGCCCCGTTCAGGCTGGATTCTGTCGGTCAGGGAGGTTCGACCGTTTGCTTCTCGTGTAATTTAAATCCTGTTTTGACTAATGACTGTAAAAGTTGTGTTTTTAACTCTGGATCAGTTTTAATTCTGTCAAACTGTCCCGTGAACAGCAGCAGAACTCTGTCAGTAGCTCTTGTCTGCGGTTTAAACCAGATCAACGGACGACTGTCGCTGATCTGTACGATGCTAAGAAGACGCTAAAACGTACGATTCTCAGTGTGGGCGGCTTTTCTGGAGGTCTGTGGGATCATTACGTCCTCTGGAAGTGGAGGTCATGACAAACCTCTACACATATGTTTCATGTATGTGGGTTGAAATGTGGCCGAGTTACGAGACTGAAAATGAAAGTGCGTTTTTATGCTGACGACGCCGTCCTTTACGTTCAATATTGTTGTTGTTAAAAAGGTCTGAATATCTCAGAATCTATGAATGCTACAGCACTGAAACTCAGTGGACTGCTCCCCCAGAGGTCAGTGCTTCACGTGTCTACAACAGGTACCGACAGCGCCAACGTGTGGCGAAATACGAGCTGTCAAATATCGCAAAATGTTTGGCTCAGATTTTGGTAAGATTTAGTTTGGATGATGGTAGAGGACCTAATTTCAGACTGAATCCTGATGTACTGGGCCGATGACCAGCTGGATGTTGGACCTGCTTTAGCGGCGATTGATGGTTTTGAACTCTTCTGTCCTCGTCTTGTCTTTTACCGGCCAGATGTTTCACCAGGATATAAATTACAGAGAAGCACAGCAGTGATTTTATTCCTCATCTTCCTGAATGCCTTCAAGCCAACGGGCGCTCTGATTGGCTGAGATTCATACAGAAACCAGGTTCGGGTCGGTTTCACTGTTTGGTCTCATGTTCTTTTTTTGTCTGAATTCAATCAAATTCAGGTTTTATATTTTGTCACGGCAGCCTCAGCTGACACAGGGACTCTATATTTATTTGTGTCTGGAAGCTTCCACTGCCTGCTGGGATGATGGTGGACGGTTTGTCCAGACGGACCGACGGACCGACTGACCGAGCTGAGGTAGCTGTAGCGTTACTACTGCACACTGTGGAGATGGTAGCGAGCAACTTATCGTCCCCGTTTCAGCATCAGCTGAACTTCTCAGACAGAAGAAACCAAGAGTTTTCAGAACATCTTAAATGGCAGAGTCTTAGTCGGCAGTTATTCAGCCAACGTTCAGTTTTAAACGTCGGTGTGTTTCATCCATCTGTCGAAACGAAAACTATCTGGAAATGAATCGAACAGGACGAGTGGATGAAATGAAACGCGAGGGTTCGAGCCGTGAGGGGGTCTGAGGGACGTTCAGTAGAAGACACAGAGAAAAGAATAAATCAGCTAAAGCTAGAACTCTTTAAACACTTGAGCACTTTGAACATCAGAAGTCAAAAAAAGAAAACAAAGAGATTCCCTTTTGTGGTGTGTTCAGAGCCACACGAAGCCTCGACAGCCTTAAATCACTGCATCGCAGCAAACCCACAACCAGTAAGCGCCGCTCGCTGCTTGTTCACGCCGGCCGGTCGGACGCTGCTTCAAGGCCTCACAGCACCAGGAAGTCGTACTGCGGTTATTTATCGCTTTACAGTTTGTCTGAACCGGTCTGGTTTCTGAAATTGATGTTATGAACCTTTAAAGCTGCAACTTGCTCACAGCCGGCGCCGCTGATTAAACGTTTGCATATAAAGCTGAAAGGAGTTTAGTTTGAGAGTCTGAATGAGACGTGAGGTAGCCGGACGCTCGACCGGCCGCCGTCGCTTCGCTCGCCGGCAAACGTGAACAAGCAGCCAGAAATCATCATCATCATCATCATTGCAATTACATACTGCATCAAATATAGATAACACACAAAGATATTCAATATATATATTTTTTTGTCGTATTGTTACGTATCAGCAAAATAAAAGCCTCCACAAAATAAATCTCTGATTCATTTTACAATATGTAAAAGAAAATTTCTAACACGATTCTTTTTTAAAAGTGCTAGCAACATTATTTTACAACAATGTGCAAATGCATTTAGTTTTTCACATATTTTACATTCTAATCGTTATGTTTCTCGTGATAGGTGGATGGTGGGTGGTTGCTAGGAGACAGAGTTGTAGACACGCCCCCGCAGACTGCTGATTGGTTAGGTTACAAGCCAGAGCCGTACACAGGACGTCCTGTAGGGTTCTGGGTTTGGCTACGCAACCGATGTGGGCTCTAGAGTTAAGACAACGACGTAAGGCAACGCTTGGCACCGGGCTGAGTCCTCCGGCTCTCATCGCTCTGCCCGCTCACCTGACAGCAGATCAACATCGAATTAAACGACTCGTTTTCTGCAGAAAATGATGAATACGATGCTGTAAGTAATCTCTGCAGAACACAGTGGATCCACTGAGGGTCGAAAGTTGTGTACCAAAGAGTTTGATCAGCAACTCCAGATGTTTTTTAGCATTAAGACTTTGAGGATGTCTTTAAAAATGCTTCTGATTTTCTGCTCAGTGGCTCAGGTTTGTGATGATCTGGACGTAATCTGGAAGTTTGGAAACAACATGAAACTTTCTATGTCTATACCTTGAGAAGCAGTAAATGTGAAGGAAGAGCCAGATCTCACTGGTTCATGAATCAGTTTAACATCACTCATTCAGATAAAGATTAAATCTGATCCTGAAATGTTTCATGAAAACAATCAGCCTTCAACCCTCTGAACTCCAAACAACCTATAAAATAAAAATCCAAAATAGAACCATGTAGCCAGAAGCTGGCTGGATGTTCAGTTTGAACCAATTATTGGTGAGGTTCCATCAGGAAACTTTAGCTTTGACCAAAAGTCATGCCACAAATTTCAAGGACTTTCTGGTTGAACTGCAGGCAGTGTTTATGCAGAGGCGACAACTAGAAAAACAAATTAGATTTATGTATGTAAAATATCATTTCATAGATGTGGAGTCGCCAAACGTTGTTCCAGGGTTGGTAACAACTGAAAAATAATGGGCATGTTGATTCCAGATTCTTTCCATTTTTTTAAAAACAAATACTCAATAAAAAATTTATCTAGAAATCCTGTCATACTGCCAACTGTTTTAAAGCTGCACAGAAGACATCCCGTCATGGTTGTGCTGTTTCCACAGAGGTGCAAGACTTCAGAGCGTCAACCTTACTGTCCTAAATCGTGTTTTCAAACATGAGAGACGCCGGGTTCAGGAGGCAGAGGCGACATTCGGCCGGAGGACGACAGCGACGGTGAGACCGACGAGACGAGGCAGAGAAGAGTGAGAATTGGCAGCCTGGAGCCCTGGAATCGCCTGGGTTCAGCCCTGGAATCGCCTGGGATCAGCCCTGGGATTGCCTGGGTTCAGCCCTGGAATCGCCTGGGATCACCCCACGTTTGGCACTTTGACTCGACCCGGGGGACGCAGAGCGAAGCTGACCTGATTCTCACGCAGGCTTTTAGAGATACGACTGAATAACCGTTGAAACCGTCCTTCGAGCATCAGATCTATCGTCGCCTGAGTGAATCAAACAGATCGGAGGTCAGCAGAACCATGACGGTGCTCAGGAACAGAACTGGTTTCCATCAGCTGGTGATTCACAGTATTTCGCTTTGGAACTTATGAAGATATGTCGAAACCAAGAAACATCTGGACCGAGTGTCAGTTTTAGTTTACAGGCGTAAAGATGTTTTCAGTTCTGCTTCCTGGCAGCGTGGTGAGTTCATGGACCGCTGGTTGCTACGTAACGGTGAGTTTTACCTCCTTTGAACCTTCAGTCCTGCTGCCAAACTCTTTTTTTCATGTCTTCGGAGGTTCTTCGGGGATCAAAAAATGTGCAAGAGACACTTTTGTCACTAAAAGCGTCCTAGTAACTAAGATGGAGGTTTTTATTCCACAAATTAAACTGGCAGTTGTTGAATGTTTGGCTGCAGGACTGAAGATCAAAGCGTTACGGAGCAAATGACCTCTGCTAGCATTTTAAATTCAGTCAGTCTGTCTGTCTAGAACTCTGTCTGTCTTCACAAACAGCCGTTACTCACCGTTATTGGTTTAAATTTAACCATCTGAGCTCAGATGTCGCCAAATATCAGCTAAAAGAAAGAATCTGCGAGCACCAGTCCCTTTGTTAATGATGAGGTGATGGATCGGTGAGTAACGGCTGTTCATCAGGTTCCTAATGTTTGCATGTTCAGCCCGCCCACCCCAAGACAAGATTGCATCGATACCCTTCGTCCAATATGGAGGAAGCCCAACCTCTGACTTCCCTTTGAACACAGTGAGACTTCTTCAGCCCCTCCAGGGTTTGTGAAAAATTTAGGATTAACCACATTTAATCCTTTGATTAGTCAATAAGATTTCCATTTCCAGAAATCGAAGCACTGTACAGTTAAAGAACCCATAAATCAACAGGTTGAATCACAAATCTTGTGGGATGAAGGAAGCATTTCTTGTTCTGGAGGAGCCGCCTCATTCCTTTATTCCATGATTTCTTTCGTAGGTATAAAAACATCTGCAGCTTTGGTCACCATGGTGACGATGAACCAATCAATGGATCCCATGGTGACCTGTTGGAGCCTGGTAGTGTTGGCCAACTTGTCGAGGTGGGACGGATGGAGTCTGGCCTACATGACGCTCTCGAAGATGATGACCTTGTTGTCGTCAGTGCCGGGCGACAGGGAGCTCAGGGACTTGATGTCGGGGGCCATGTACTCCAGGTGATGGGCGCCCCACACCGGCGTGGTCAGGTGGGCCCAGCGCTGCAACACACAGCAGGAAACATCAGCGGTGCACAGGTAGGAAGACACCTGTTCTGTTAAACTTAGAGAGTAAACCTTCTACGGTAACTACAGCTTACTGTAAACAGATGGCCGACATGACAGTGAAGCCAAAGTGTAGCAGAAGTATGATTTACAACTAGAGACACTGCAGGAGTGGCCAGGAGGTGAGGTGTCAAGGTCCTGCCTTCTGAACTGGTGCACAACAAATCTATTGGAAAAATAGCTCATATGTAGCTAGCTAGCTATCAGTTGCTAATCATTGTTATCTAGAAAAATATTTGGCCAGTTCAGGAGGTCCGCATTATGTCCCCACTACGATCTCTACTGTACGCAATCTGGATGTGGCCCTCCATAGTCACCTCTGGCAAAAAGTGGTAGATACATTAGCTAAAAAGCTAGACAGCTAATTTTTTTAGTATAAAAATGATTAGTGGCTATTTCGATGTCCCTCTGCATCTAAAGGATAAGAACAGAAAGAGGTTCTGCTTTTAATACCAATCTATGAGGAAAAGTAATTAACATGTAGCTAAAAAGTTAGCAGATGCTAATCACTGTGATCTAGATAATGACGGGTGGAGCAGGAAGTGGGATCTCAGTACCACCAGGACAAGATTGCAGCGCTCTTTTCTGTCATATTTTGCCTTCACCTTTGCATAGTTGGAAGAAGTGGTAACACAACAGCCATCTGTACTTATAGTGTTTAGCGACTATTGAAAGTAGTTCATATGCTACAGGAGGTTGTTTTTGATTCTTGAACCTCCCAAGTTCTGACTGACTGATGAGCTTTGAGGTTTTTATCCTCGTCTCCAGCTTACCCGACTCAAAGTGTGAATGTTGGTAAACTGCCTGGGACGTCTGAATGACTTTCCTATATATGTGTAGTAGGAGGAGACTGAATAGCTTCTCCACAACATCTACAAAACCAATTATCAGTGACTTATAGTGCAGTCCTGACATTCCTCTCCAGACAGGTTCTCCAGCATTTACACCTTGAGGCGTGAGAGTAAATCAATCATTTATAACTGGAGTTGACATGACGTTGGTCCTGACCCGGGTCCTATATTCATGCAAATGATACTTTGACATGTAGCCTAAAGACTGTTGTGGATAAAGCACCATCCCTCCCATTGGAAAGGCCTCCACCCAGCAGGACTCTGCAACCCGCCACGAAAACTGATCAGCAACAACTCGTCGAACACAACAAAGAGCCCAAAGTGTTGGCCCACCCTCAAGAATCCCCAGATCTTAATCCAATTAGGTAGCTGTGGGATGAAGGGGAGCCCCAACCTGGAACCAAAGGATCTGATGCTAACATGGTGGTTCCAGGTTCCCCCAGAGGTTGTTGTGCCCATGGACAAGTCAGAGCTGTTTTGGCGGCACAAAGGCGACTTACACAATTTTGAGTAGTTGTTTGTTTTGCCTTATACAACCAAGCCAGGTCCAACCCATAGGACCGTGGACACAAGACTTCTGGGGAGCGACCTTTGGTGTCTGGGAATGGGCCCTGTAGGTCCTGCTATTGCTTGATTGGACTGAAGGTTGGATCAATGCCTTAGGCTCTGGGTCATGTTCCTTGAGCCATTCCTGATTATTGTGTGTAGTGAGCTTAGTGTATTTACTGTAGTATAGTGTCGTTTTACTATCGGCCCATGGCCAATATCAGACAGATTAGGGTTTGCTATGTCTCTGGTCATTTGAGTTGCTTGTAATCAAAACCCCAAGTAAACAACTATACAAACTCAGTATCACCCCTTTGAAAATGTTCACACAGTAGAGTGTTGTGGTTTTGTCTCTGTGTGCTGACCTCCTTGAAGGTTCCCTTGGCTCTGAAGAGTTTGTAGAGAAGGCTGACAGGAATGCAGAGCATGGAAGACAGAGCCAAACACCAGCCGATCACCTCCCCCCACCACGGGTAGACGTACACGTTGTTGTAGGTCAGCGGCTTGTAGTTCACCAGGTGGAACAGAAAGATGCCCTGCGGAGAACCAACAGGAACGTGATGGGAACATCGCCTCACATTGGACAGGTCTGAAACTGTCCAATGATTCTTACTGCTGTTTAGAATAATTAAAGAAAAGCACCTCTTACAGTCTTAGTGTCAAAGTCAGCTATTGGGCAACTTACTACTTCCTGTGATGTTAAATGCTTCAGTGGAAAGCAACAGGATTTGTTTTTGACCTCTGAAGACCTCCCATCCAAGACATCTCCTCACTTCTGACTGGCTGGTGGGCAGTTCCAAGTGTTTATTATGAACTCTGCGTGGTGTGAATGAGGGAATGAGTACAACAAACTGTCCACCAGTCTGTCAGAGCTGAGGAAGCCTATTGGATGTGAAAGAGGAGTCCATGTGCCTTTTCCTAAAACTCTATTGAAAAATGCCAAATTCAGTAAACTTCTTGATTTTGTTATTTTCCTTCAGAAGCTGCGGTGGTGAGAGGAAATCTGGTTTGTTTTAAAAGCAACAGTTAGAATGATTCCAGTGGCTCGGTATGTATGTCCATGACGTCTGTTCCTGTAAACGTGTCTTTACTATTCGTATAACGTTGGCGGTGAAGCCTTGAGAAAGCTGCTGTTTACTGACCATGCAGACACATGGAGTGATGAAGGACCAGCACCACTTCATCCAGGGGAACGGCCGGTAGCCAATCATACGAGCTACATCATCCATGAAGCGGTCAGCACCTGCAGTTCATCCAGAAAATATGCAAGACACGTGAATGAATCACTCCCATATGACTGTGACATGTTTTTAAAGGTAAAACTTGTTTCTCTTGAGTTTGTTCATTTGCTTTTAAAGCTGGAGGTGTCTGCTGATGACAAACACTAGAACAGCTTAGTGTGTGTGTGATGTGTGTTTCCAATTTAAATTTGTGTTTGTGATGTAAATTTCCAACAAAGCCTCGAGAAAGCTGTGAGATAATATTCTCTGAACTGTTGTTGAATCTCAATGTGCAGACGTATGGAGTTAAACAGGAGCAGCCGGTAGCAGGTAACAACCATACTGTAGGATGTTGTTTTGAAAATCAAACTGTTCTGTCATTTTTTCAACATATTACACAATAACAAGCTATTTAAGTGTTTCTTTACTACACACTGTACGATGACATTCATACTATGCTGTGACATTTACATGAAATACTGTCACCGTTTTATTACAAGTTTTATGGGACACACTAAAGTATCACATTTCTACCAGCATACGATGACGTTTTTATGACTTATTACACAATGTCATTTTTTACAACAAGACTATCACATTTACTTTACTTTTTTAAAACAGATGATGCGATGGCTTTTTCTTAACATTCTATAGTCATATAATATGACACACTACACTCATACTACAGTGCACTATATTATGTTTTCTGTCACAACCTACTCCATGATGATATTTCTTGACCGTACAGTGACTTTTTTAACACATAGTATACATACATGGCATTTTTACAACATAATATACTATGACGGTATGACGATAGTATTATACTATAACATATACTTTGACATTTTTGACATACTAAATTAGTAATCATGATTTTTTTACAACATACTATATTGTGCCTTTTTTTTATGACATACTATTTTATTTTTACAAACAAGACTTTTTTTCACATATACAAGACTCACATTTTTGTGGCGTACTATTATTTGGCATTTCTATCGACACTATATCATTTTTACTAGCACATCACACTACAACAGATTTTAAAACAGATGATGTTTGATATTCCATATATTATATTTTTAACAAAACACTTTTATAACTATATAACTTATAACTACACGATGATGCTGCGTGACATTTTTACACTTTAACATTTCTGATGACATGCTGTACTTTAAAGTTTTTCTAGTAGGTTACAGCCTTACTGTTGCACACATTCCTACAATCTAGTTGGGTTCAATTTATATAGATATGATCATATATTATGCGTTCATACTGAAATATTTCTGCTGTGATGAACTATGCTTCAGTCTGTGACTTCTGCTGTTGTGACTGGTTACACATCTACTTAGAGACGGCTGCTTTCTGACACACAGAAACACAACCCTGTGTGTGTGTGTGTGTGTGTGTGTGTGTGTGTGTGTGTGTGTGTGTGTGTGTGTGTCTGTGTGTGTGTGTGCGTACCGTAGACCCAGGCAACTACTATGCATTCCCAGAATGCTTGCCACAACAGAGTCATTCCACTGGCCGAATAGTAGTCAAACAGTTGGAAGACGTACATCCCTCCCTGCAGAGACAAGAAATGATGTCATCGATCAGTCTGAGCGTTCCTTCGGTTCCCCGCTACGCCGCTGACAGTTACTAATGAGGACAGTTTTCAAATAAAGGGACTCATTTGAGGCTAAAGTTTATTTATTAACCAACAGACAGACAAAGTGTAACGGACCTGTGTCACCATGGAGAGGTCAATAATGAAGCACAGTAAACAGCAGATCGCCACGGCGATCTCCCTTTTGTAGCGATGGTAGTATTTTCCAGGAAACAGATCCAGGATCCCAGTGACGAACCCCTCGACGCCGACAAACTGCAGACACACACCGAG